ACGCTATCGGGCGTCCTACACGCGCAAAAGATGCATCGCCTTTTTTTTTTAATGAACGTGAACGTAGTGTCTCATTGCGGTCCATGTTACACACTAGGACCCCCTACTTGCCTAATCCGATTTAGATCTACTTTAGTTGCTCGGAGATAGCTTATCAATATCAAATCTCACCCTGATTTTGATGATACACATAGCTGGGTATGTGCACTGCACAGCATACAGTAACTCACCCGGATCGTGCGGCCTTGAACTCATTCAGAACTCACCGAGCGCCGGCTCTAACTCATAGCTGAAAGTAACAATGACAACAGGACGGCGTAGGAGTGCATGAGCATAGGCTCAGGTTCCCAGGGCTGTATGTAGTTTGGTGGGCGCCGACTGATCCGGACACGCCGGCCGCACGCGCGTGCCGTGGCCGACTTCGTTGATTCGCATCTTGGCCCGATACCACCAGTACTACCTAAAGCCGTAGCCTCTTACATTCGTCATGTCTTCTCTGGGGCCGTCTGCTCTCACATCTCTAGGCGGCAAGAAGCGCAACTACAAAGAAGTTTCGTCGAGCGAGGCGTCGCCGAATCAGGCACAGAAAGCAGCGATTGCATACACCTCTGGACCGCGCGCGAAGAAGGCTAAAGTTACGAGGGATAACGGAGGAGGAGAAGCAGAGAAAACTGCTCGTGCTAAGGCGCCTAAACCAACGAAGGATGTTGCTAACTTGAAGAGGACTAGGAAGAAGGAATGGGATTCATGGGTGAACTCCCATGAGTGGTTGGTGAATAAGGAGTACAAGCACTCTGACCAACCCTTCGTAAGAGTCATTTTCATATATCCTCCCATAACATATCAGCTTATAGTGCCAATCCATGTAGATGTACACTCAACGCGATGCCTTGAGGTTCATCAAGGACAAGCTGGAGCCGAAGCTGACGCAACGCGAACTCGACACCCTGCGGTTTGAGCAGCGTCGCAGCCAACTCGAAGGCTGTAGGGCTAGCCATATGTTCTCGGTGGCAGACATATATGCTCTCGTACAGCGTAAGGCGGAGATGCTGGGCTTACCCCTCGTCTTGCCGCCTCCCTCTCCGTTCGACAATTGGTGGAACCCGAAAGATACCCCACTTGTCATTCACAAGTATACACCACCGAAAAACACGCACCCGAATGAACCCCCTCCTGAGACGATCATATGGGACGGAGAGCACTGTCGACATCGTAATCTTCTACTAAAGGATGCATGTACTCTCTACTGTGTAAGTTCACTTCGAATGGTCGGCACCGGTCGCCGACTCGGATGCGGCGGTTCTGCGACACTGACATACTCTGACCTAGGTTGAGGAGGATCAACTGGAGGACCTTGCAAAGGCCTCAAGATGGCTCGACGCGAAGACTGTTGCCATGCGTGCGGTGTACCTACATGGCGGCATAAGACAACACAACGAAATGTACGTCCTGACCGTGTATAACGCTCCGTCAGCTTCTTAAATAAGGCTAGTGTTGTGGCTCGTCGTCGTGCTGCATGGGTTTCCATCGAAGCCAAACAGGCTGCTGCACGAAATCGATACTGCGACGGACAGCCCTCTGAACACTACAGCGACTATCTCGAGGAGCAAATTGAGCTCAAGCGCCAGTCCAATAACCCTGCGACCTTTCACCTGCCTTGGTACGACAGGTGCCGTTTCGAGAAGGAATCCGATAAGCCTCGCCCGATGGAGGAGTGGAGCTTCCGTCAACGACAAGTGAAGCAGTTTGCGCCGTTGCTGAAGCGTTACCCGGCATTGCCTAATCATGGGGATGAATGGCTGCACCACGGGAGCGGGTACTTCGACTACGACCGTGATCTCGAGGCGGCTTGAGGGGCCCAACTTGCCGCTGCATTACTGCCCGTGTTTATCCTCTATCTTCGTGTATCGGTAGTTTGCATGGAAACACCGCTCACTGCTCGAGAGACAAGGGAAATACATAATAGTACGCTGTTGTACACGCATATATACACACAAAGAATTGTACATCTTGGTATCACTTACAAAGTCCAGCTTTCGTCGTATATCTCCCAACCTACACCGCCCATCTCCCCTCTAACGTCCCGAATCACCTTGCAATTCTATCGCACAACTCAAGCTCCATATGTCCCATATCCCTTCTTCCCCGGCGCTGCCGCGGAGAACAACATGCTCGGCTTGAGCGGCATTCTCTCGCCCTCTTCAACGTCTAACCCCATCTCCGCTTGCGCCCGCGCGTTCACCATCTCGTCTTCCTCGCTATACCTATACCCAGTCGCTGTCGGCACCCATAAAATGTCATAAGATAAGGAAGGGAACGCACGCATCATCCTCATCCAACCCAAAAGTCGGCAACTCCTCCTCTGCCCACCTCAAAAGCCTACTCTCACCCGGCCTTCCCCTCCACTTCCTCAACCTCCTCATCTTCTTCCCCACAGCCCTCAAATACGGTTTCGCCCATGCAGGCGGGTGCGTCACGCCATAATAGATCAATCCAAAAGAAGCGAACGATGCAAGAAGAACGATGAAAACTGTCCGCAGGGTGATGTGGTCGTTTACGGGTGGAAGAAGGTTTTGATCGGGTTTGGTTTTGGTGGGGTTGGATGGGTCGGAGGGTGGATGTTGATGGTGTTCGTGGTCGCCTCGGCCTCGTTGGGGTTCGTCGGCGGACGATGATGTGAGGGTGGAGGATGGGAGGTGGGTCGAGCAAGCGTGGGGTGTACGCCAAGTAAAGGCGTGTGTTGGGCTTCCGGATACTGCGAGTTCGAGATCGCCTTCTTCGGTCTGTTCATATCGTCAGCTCAGCCGAATAAGCAGATATAATATGGAGATAAACGCACTGAGCATTCGAAAGCGATCAACGCGCGCATTCTTTGACCAGCGTACGGTTCGCCCGACATAACCACGACCAATCCATCGTCTTGCTCGTAGACGTCGGTATAGACCGAGGATGAGCCCGACCTGACGATGGGAACGTGCTGTCTCGCCTCTGGAGAAGACTCGGGGCTCCGGGTGATGGCTGTGAGCGGCAGTCAGTTCCTGGAGCTCCCACTTCCCATGCAGGCAATCGAGACGCAAGAATGACACGGCGTCAGTGATAAGAGGTGTTCGCATCGAGCGGTACGGGAGCAGAGGCGGAACATTGTACCAAAGTTCATGGAAGTGGCCGACCCATGTCAAGAGAGCAGACAACCATTTCGGGCGATGAGTGCACGAGGTACACGCACGGGCGTGGTGCCTGCCGCCGGGTACATTCAGATAGTGTCGCACGGGTCATAGTGCCGCTCATACATGATGAGCGCGTGCAGCAAAGATGCGTCGACGTCGAGGACGCGCGACGCGGCGAGCAGAAACCGAGACACGGTGATAGGGGCGTTGAGACTCAACTTGTCATGCACACCCATGTTCCCTCTTCACACTACCAATTCATATTCGTTAGCCGTTATCTTGCTGCTTGCGAGAATATCCAAACGCACCTGCTCGTCCTCAGAATCGTTCCTCTGCAGCGGTCCACCCAACGATAAGTTGTACTGATAGACGATCTCTGATTCGATCTCCTTCGTCGCGTAGCGGTACTCGACCGTCTTCTGCCCTTTCCCTCCTAAGCCATCTACGGCGGACGAGAATAGCGGGCATAGATCATATTGTCTCTCGCCGAGCGTGAAGGCACAGTGTGAAGCAATTGGACCGGGGAGCTCAAGCGCAGAGGCGAGTGACGTCGCCGCGAGGGCGGCTGCTAGCAGGACTCTAGCCATCGTGCAGAAAGTACGAAGACGGAAAGAGTGTGTATGGGCTAGATGGAAGTGCGAAGGAGAACCGTATAGCTCGAGGATTATGCGGGGCACTAGAGGCGCATGATGATTGTGGGGTCTTCTGCCGGCGCTAAAGTAGAGGCACCGGGCGCGGTGTTAGTCCGTCCGTCTCGGGCCGCGTTCTCCACTCTGCTTAATTTTGGGCACAGCTGTTGTGGCGCGTCGTGATCATATGCTATCTGCCTTCCTTCTACTTGCTATCATAGCAAGGACTCTTCTCGCTAGTAGTGGCTTTCTAGGCTTTGGATGGCGATTCTGTGATTCCGAGTATGAGTCTCGTCTACCTGCGCTGACCTTCGCTTATTGGAGTCTGGCTTCTCACAAACTTCTCAAGAAGCTGCTGTAGCTGACTGCAGCCTAACACAGCTCCCGCAACGACATCAATTACATGGCTTCTTCATCTCCGGATACTTGTGCATCGCTACCAGCGCCTCACAGTCCCCCGTTTCCACCAGATATCCTCCTTCGTACATAACCACGGTGAGTCCAATATCGAGCAGCTGCTGGGATAGGCCATTTGCTGATTCATGACGACCAATACGCCGCTGGGTTACGTGGTCTTGCGACCATGTCATAAAGGGCATCGAGGTTATCATCGCTTCTGAGCTGAAATCTTTGCGCGAGCGACAGTGCAGTGCGACTAACACTGAGTACTATACGATATAGGCCAGGGAAACGCTGACACCACACATCGTGCCATCGTGGAGATCACAATTCGTTTCAGGTCCTGAAAATAAGTATCGCCTTGACGAAATCCAGACTTGGGCCAAATCTCCCATTCAAGTCCCATAGGTGCTCGCTCCGGATGTTGAAAGAGGAGCTATACACAGCTATGTTGAGAGTGGTAAGTGAGGCATCGGTCTCGCAAGTAGACTGGTTGGCGATGTAAGTAAACGTTCTCTTGAGTCTCGTAGCGCAAACCATCGGGGTCGAACATGAAGCACCGGAGACAAGACCGCACATGCTATGCTGGTGGGATGGTTGTGCCCTCCCGTAAGTATCCAGACCAGAAGGGTTTTTGATCTTTCGATTATCCCTTGTCCAGTGATGTAGTAACACTAATAGTTGAGAGACTCGCGTCATTGGGCATGCTCTGAAAATACTATCTGTTTACATAGGACAGACCTTACAGCTCCCGCGTCTGATACCTCATAAATAGGGCACAAAAACAAGGAGCGCGTAATATTAGTTCGGATACGGGGAATCGAACCCCGAGCTGCCGCGCACTGGACAAGCTATCCTGAGAGGCGGCAATGTTAGCCGTTACACCATATCCGATGGAGGAGGGTGCAAAGTAAATGTCCCTGATCACGTTAAAAGGCATCCGCGCGCGGCGAAGTTCTAGTCCGCCTCCGCCGCCGATCATCCCGATCGCTGCCTACACACCTTTCCCTCCAACCACCACCACCCACTCAACTTCATTCACAATGGCCCGTCAATTCTTCGTCGGAGGTAACTTCAAGTTGAACCCCGTCACTCGCGAGGAGAAGAAGAAGCTCATCAAGACGCTCAACGACGCCAACATCGACCAGAACACCGGTACGTCCTATTCGCTTTACCCACCTAGAGTTGTAGTGTACTTACTGACGGACATGCGGAATGTAGAGGTTGTTATTGCGCCGCCTTCGATTTACCTGATCCCTGTCCTCGAGAGCCTGCGCAAGGATATCAAGGTTGCGGCGCAGAACGTCTACGTGAAGCCCTCGGGCGCGTTCACGGGTGAGATCAGCTCGCAGCAGCTCGTCGACGCTGGTATCCCCTACGTTATCCTCGGTACGCTCTTCTCTTTCCCATCTATCCTCATTAAGCATTGTTCTAATTCCGATCTGCGAACCCACAGGCCACTCCGAGCGCCGCGCCATCTTCGGCGAGACGTCCAAGGAGATCGCGGCCAAGACGCGCGCGGCGATCGATGCGGGTCTTAGCGTGATCTTCTGCTGCGGTGAGACGCTCGAGGAGCGCGAGTCTGGTAAGACGCAGGCTGTTGTTGAGGAGCAGCTCCAGGCTGTTGTCGAGGCTATCACGCCCGAGCAGTGGAAGTCAGTATTTTGATCACCGTCTATCCCCGGATTCAAGCTGAATGGTGATTAGGAGCGTCGTCATCGCGTACGAGCCCGTATGGGCTATCGGTACCGGTAAGGTCGCTACCGCCGCACAGGCTCAGGAGGTCCACGATGCTACGCGCAAGTTCGTCGCTAAGGTCGTTTCGTCTGAGGTCGCGGAGGCCGTTCGTATCATTTACGGCGGCTCTGTCAACGCCAAGAACTGCAAGGAGCTCGGTAAGCGCCAATCCCTTATTCCACACGAAACTCCGGCATTCTGCGAAGTTTCCCTTGTTGAGCAGACGCTGACAATCGGTTTGTTTTTGCAGGCACACAGCCCGACATCGACGGTTTCCTCGTCGGCGGCGCGTCGCTTAAGCCCGAGTTCGTCGATATCATCAACACCAAGCGCGCTTGAGTTTGGGGAGTAGCGAAAATTCAATGTTGTACAAGATGTATCGTGTACCATCATAAATCTATAGACGTTCTGGTTGCTTCGAGTTTCCCGGGGCCCACGCTCTGGCCGAGCCTGGTTCAACATCTGGGTCTGTACGGCAGGATCTATGCGGGATGAACGAAATCGCAGCGGTGTAGCCCTGGAGAATACGCCCACATACAGTGGGTTTGACGGATGAGAGGCATCGCCAGGATCGCCAGTGCCTTGCTGAAGCTGCGCGTACGCGAACTTCTCCGCTGCCACGAGAGTAGTCCACGTGACCGCGTTCTAGCCCCGGGCCGGTCCAACCGAAGCCTGTCGAAGCGCTCAGCGCCGTCGGTTCTCGCGTTTGCTCTCGACCACCACGACTGTGACGCGGAGTACAATGCTTCCAATATCTTATCTGTTGAGCGCTCGAAAGTGTATTGCATCTAAGCTCTGTAGGCTTCTATCTCCGTCACTGCACGTAGGTTCGAACTCAGCGCGTCAGACGGCCCGCCGCGCAGGTCATCTGGGCAGCCCGTTGACCTGCAGCTCCTTCTCAATCAATTCGGTCATATCGTATAAGATGTCCTGCCTTTGCCTGCGTCATAACTTAACTTCTTGACGGCTATGGCTATGGCTTGGTTGAAAGGGCTGGTGCTGCTGCTCACAGTGGTTGGAGGTGTGCAAGCGAAGATCGACCGTCAAGCCATCGTGCGCGCGTACAACCCTACGCGCGGACCTCAGCCTAATGCGACAACACCTCTCCAAGTACGTCTTGTTATCTTGCTCTACTATCCCTTTCCTGACAATGAGCTAGGTGGGTAACGGTAACATAGCATTTGGCGCCGATATATCTGGCCTCCAGACTTTCCTCCCATTCAACACTCTAAGTTCATGGGGATGGAAGAACGATTCTTTGCCGGCCGGGAAGACACAGGCCGATATCGAGAACTATGAAGGCACTAGTTGGCCAATGCACGGACGCGAGGTGCGTTTGTCTGGTTTGAACCCTGCGTTGTCTGCGAAGGAGCTAATACGATGGTTCAGGTACGATACGACTTTGGTGGGGACCCGGCGATCGAGACGTGGTTGACTTCGAATCCAAACCGCGTCAACCTCGCAAGACTTGGACTTGTCTTCCTCGACGATACCGGCGCTACGCAAAACATCTCAATGTCTGATCTGGATGGTGCGACGCAGACGCTCGATCTATGGACCGGTGTGCTCACTAGTACATTTTCCTTCAACGGTTTAAACGTGAGCATCACGACGACCATGGCGCAAGATACAGACGTACTGGCCATCTCGCTTTCTTCCGACTTGCTTAGTTCGGGACGTCTGGGCTTGTTTGTGGATTTCCCGTGGTGCGATGGGAGCAACAAGTTCAACGCGCCGTTCGTAGGGGTGTTCAACGCTACGTTGAATCATACGTCGGCCCTGGACGTATCTGAGGATGACAGCGCTGTGATTCGGCATACGATGGTTAACAACACGTTTTTGACAACGTTCGGCGGCGACGCGTTCAACGTAACCCGGGACGACCCGGCGGCACACCGATACACTCTTCTCCCATCCTCGAACTCTCCGACTTTCTCCATATCCGTCGGCTTCTCCCTCTCCCCGCTTTCTTCTCTCCCATCTCCAGGCGAAGTGGTGGAGTCGTCAGAGAATGCGTGGGCGAACTTCTGGGAGAACTCTGGGTTCGTGGATGTCGTCAGTGGGAGCACGGATGAGAGGGCGAATGAGCTGCAGAGGAGGATCGTGTTGAGTCGGTATTTGGAGAGGGTCAATGAGGCGGGGGATAATCCGCCCCAGGAGGTATGCGCTTACTGCATCCGTCTTTCACATGTGTGCGTACTGATCTATTTTATTTAGTCTGGACTCACGAACAATGGCTGGGTACGTGCTCAAGCTGTGAATTGTGAGACAAACTGACGGTCGGCGCAGTACGGTAAGTTCCACATGGAGATGTTCTTCTGGCACTCTGCGCACTGGGCGCTTTGGGGCAATTGGGACTTGCTCGATCGAGCGACGGGAACGTACCACGACTTTATGACCACGAGCATCGAGCGGGCGCAAGTTCAGCAGGGTGCGTCTTCCCGTCAAATCGTTGCTTGCTAGCCGTTAAAAGTGTCTTGTGCAGGATTCAAGGCGGGTGCCCGCTGGCCGAAGATGACAGACCCTACTGGCCGTAGCTCACCCGGCACAATCAACAACCTACTCATCTGGGAACAACCTCATCCGATCATATTCGCGACCTATGCTCTCCGCGCCGCCAACTCTACCTCTGCTCAGCAATCCGCTGTAGACTTCTGGAAGGATATCGTGGTCGCTACGGCAGACTTTATGACTGCATACGCGTGGAAGAACGAGAGTTCGGGATACTTCGACCTGGGTCCGCCGATGTACGTCGTCAGTGAGGATACCTCGCCAAACGTCACGACAAACCCTGCATTCGAGCTCACGTACTTCCGACTTACTCTGTCACTCGCGTCCAACTTCATGCAATCAGCCAACGAATCCGTACCCGACACATGGACATCTGTCCTCAAGAACCTAGCGCCACTTCCTATACAGGATGGATTGTATGCTGTGTATGAAGGTATCGAAGAGAACTGGTGGGATGATGCAGCATTCACGAGCGATCATCCGAGTTTGGCTGGTTTAGTCGGATGGCTACCGCCCGTCCCAGGCCTCGATCTGGCAATGGCAAACGCCACGACGCGTAAAGTCTGGGAAACATGGCACGTCGACAATCTCTACGGATGGGACTTCCCTCTCCTCGCTCTATCCGCCGCGCGTCTCGGTTCACCCTCACAAGCCATCGACTTCCTACTGGATCCACTGTTTGAGTTCGACGATGCAGGGTATCCAACGGGTGGGACGAGAGTGCCGACGCCGTATTTCCCGAGCTCGGGGAGCTTTTTGTATGCGGTTGCTGCGATGGCTGCAGGGTGGGATGGGGTTGAGGAGGGGAGAGAGGCGCCGGGGTTTCCGGAAGAGGGGTGGATGGTTGCTGTTGAGGGCGTTTCGAGGGTTTTGTAGGGGGACGGATGGTGCGTTACAAGTCTTCTTTACGTATCTGGCCGAAGTATTGATGTTGTCGCAGGATGTGGCTCGCATAATGTTCTGTCATGTTCAACTGATGTTGAAATGTATGTGTGCATTCTGTTCCACCGTAAATCGGCTCTGACTAGTGTTCTATTGCTATAGAACATAGACTGTGAACCATGATGCGTGTAATACCACAAGAACCTACAAAATGACCCGCATCTCAGGTTGACTTCCTCGACTTCAAATTCGTACTTCGATGTCTCTATTTCCGAATGCCGACTCGGACCCATGTGACTGTGGCACTTCCTATTCAGACGCTCAACTGCTCTCCGTCTCTTCTTCATACTCGCAGTACCTTGCCTCTCCGCATGACGCGAGCCACGTTTGCGTCCCTCCCTCCCTGAAAAGCCAGGATACGCTCGGAGTTTTTGCTATATCTTCCTTATTGGGTCATGCGTGCTCACACCAAGGGTAACTACGCTAACGAACGTTGTCCAACGTGTCGGGAGAAGGCATCCTCATACGAAGCGAGCATCAGCACAGCGCATATAAACAGGTTCAGTCCTTCATCGACGTACGCAGGCTCACTTCTTCGTCGTCATGAGACCTACCTTGCTCCTCTCTGTCGCGTTGGGCGCTCTCGGCGTCCGCGCAGATTTGCTCAATGATATCCTCACCGCTCTCGAGCAAGCAGTAGACTGTGCAGGCTGTAACACTTTGCTCGTCCCGGTCCAAACTCTGGCGCACCTTGGCAACGATGC